CGACGATCTCTTCGGCGAACTTCTGAAAATTCCGACAGGTTCCCGATTTCTTCTCGATTGGTTCTGGTAGCATCTCCGACGATTCTTCGGACTCTTAAACGTCCATCGAACTTGACTCCGGTATTCTTGCTTTGTGTTTTCTGGTTATCATAGTTAATCCTGCACAGTTAGCTCAATAATATGGATTAGATCAATTAACCCATCAATTGATTTTATCATCAAAATCTGAGATTCAACATTAATTACTAGTGGTACCACCATCCAGAACACCTAAGAGACCGAGTCCCAAGCAGTGCCACTATCGGCCGTGGCTTCAATTACTAAATGAGCTTATTCAATCTGGCCCAATTCAGCCCTACTAAGGGCCCAATTGACCCTTAACTAAGTTAGCGGAATTACCTCTAGTCCCGGTACGTCAATTGTTCTTCCGGCGAGCTTCCAATGATCTTCCGACGAACTTCCGACGATCTCTCGATAAAATTCCAATAAACTTTCGACGAACTTCCGACGATCTATCTTACTACTATCGTAGTTAATCCTGCACACTTTTCTCAACATATGGATTAGATCAAATAATTTACAATTGATTTCATCATCAAAATTCGAGATTCAACAAATAACTTAATTATACATCATACCCTACTAACCACCTTATCAACCTTACACATCAATCGAATCATTCTTTTGCATTAGCACCGACTTAATAACATCTTATATGCCGAGTGAGCCCGACACATCGATCGAAGACCCTTAAAGTTAACATAAAATTGTTCATGCAATGATTATAACATTCAACCATTTGGTGCACACCCCATGATCAAATAATGATCGATGATCGATGATTATGTATAATTATCCCACATAGTACTTTCCCACTTAACTATAATAGGTAACCAATTTCATTATAAAATGACCCAGAGTGCATTCCCTCATCTCTCTCGAATATTTTTAGCTTATTTTATTTTATTATTTTTTTAATTCTATGGCTCTTTCTCATGATACTCTTGACATAGTTTTTTAATATCTTTTATTAATATTTTTACTCCAACACTCGATTAACAATATGTTCGATGCTACACTTTAGTTATGTTCGAACCCTTAACATGTCAATAGTATAATAAAATTAGTTACCAATATATTAAAAATTAAAAATTCATAAAATCTAATAGATATATAATTATTTAATAAATTAGTTGATTAAATAATTATTCTTCTATAACTCATCCAAGATATAATAGATATATAATTATATATTATAGGAACAATAATTTTACTACCAAATGAAAGTTCTAATAGGACGTTATTATTACTGTTATTATTATTATTTTATTATTATTATTATTTTTTATTATTATTATTATTGTAGTAGTAGTAGTCTCATCATTACATGTCAGGATGCACCGTTATATGCTCCGTTAACCCCCGCGTGGAGATTCGCACGTGTACCGCACGCCTTTCCCTGGTCTCGGATGATCTATTCCATCGATGGATTAAGAACAAGGGAGATTTGCCCTCGAGTTGGCTCGCCTGTTGCTCTCCGATCGGCGCTTCCCACCAAACGAAGCGATCATGTCGTCCAAACAAGGTTGTCATCCGATCCTCACCTCCCTTTCCTTTCCTCTCTCTGTCTTGTTCGTCTGTTTCTCTTTCTTTGCAACTTTGGATTTGGATATCTAGGGTTGATTCTGTCACGCCGCCACCCCCCCCCCCCCCACCGAATTATCACATTCAGAAGGTGTGATCCTATCTAAAATCAATAATATTATAATTCATCATCAATTCAATCAAGGATCCAATCTAACAATTTGAGGATACTAAGAATCATTCAAAAATCAATATTCACAATTCATAAACCTGAACGTTACATAAATCATAATCCACTTCACTTAGAGATTCACAAAATCTAAAGGCAACTCAACTAAACATCAACCACAACACAAATCCATAAACATAGAAGTATATACAATCATAAAAAGATAATTATTTACCATGAGTTCTTATCCTTATACAACTTAAACTTATCATTCTATACACATGAGCGGTCCTTTAAACTTTTACAACACATAAGTATCAACAGATCCTTAACATTACATCAGAAGTAAAGTTTACTATACAACAAAAACCATCATCCAACAAAGATTAGCTCAAAAATCTTCTAGCCTTTCACTGCTTTAACCCAATTCTAGCTTTTCAGTGCGTGACAAGCTACCCTGAAAAAATTATATAGCAACGGGGTGAGCATAAAGAGCTCAGCAAGTGTCTAACATATCCATGGCGATAGGAGAAGTTCAAGCAGGTTTAGTATCAAGTTACAAGGTAGAAATACAAATGTTCATTTGAAGTCATCTCATTTGATATAAAATCACAAAGGTTTACCTCGTTCAAAAAGGTTTACCTCGTTCAAAAACAGGCATTAGACATAACAATAGGAGAAAGGAAATTGGAGCATTTCATTGGCAAAAGAAATATTTAGGCATGTATCAAATGGAACATGAAGTATTTAGGTACATATCAAAGGCATAAGAGTGTTTGAGAGCATAACAATGACATACGAAACACTTCAGGGTATAACAAGTGAACCGAGTAATAAACACAAGCTTGTTTGTCATTTTTTATGTAGCATGCATTTCATTTTTATCTAAAGCATAATATGAACTCATAAACAAAGCTTTGGATATCATATCAATAAACATAGATGGCGCTGTGGGACCAATACATAATGTGATTCATCCATTTCTGGATGACCACCAAGCATAAGTCTCCCACGTCTGGGAGCTCCATCCACCCACGTCTGAGTGAAGTCAATGGGGCCGGCAGAGCAATCGCAGGCTCTAAGCATAACTCCCTTTACCATTTCTGGCAAAGATTCACAATATCCCACAAGACACCAGAGTACAAAAGGGTAGTATGAACAATAACATTGACACATATCAGAAGCACAAGCGGAACAACGAAGATATGCATGTGCCTTTATCAAACAAGGAAATGCAAACAAAGCATTACATAATAAATTTCAGATATTCAATAATTTCAGGATGAACAATACAAGAACTTCAAAGGACTAATATAAAGTTCAATTGAAGAAGAATTTAGCAGAAATCAATTTTCCAATAGGATGAAAATTGAATAGGCAAATCCCAACAAAGTTTTCAATTATGACAGGATTTGAATGGTATAGTTTCTGAATTGTTTGAGTGACCAAATATGCTCCAAATCACTAAAAATAGATGTCATTGGAAAGCTGTATCAATCTATTTTTCGATGAACTCAGATTTATAATTTTTTGAGTTCTCAACAGGAAGTTACAACAAATAGAGTAAAGGAAGGTCAGAAATGATCATCCCTGTTTTGCAGACTTGATAGAATCGATTTAAACAGAAGTTTCAGAAGGCAAACATACTTCAAAATTTCAAACTAGGTGTCAAAAGAAAGATACACGAATCTAGTTTCCAAAGAACTAAGTTTTGCTTAGTTCAGAATTTTCTCTAGAGAGTTATGAGCAATTTAGTAACAGAAGGTCAGAAATTTCAGTCCCTATTTTGCAGAATCTGTAGGGTTAATTGAAACAGAAGTCTTAGTAGGCATTTAAACTCCGAATCATTGAATCTTAGTGTCAAAATAAAGATATTTGAGTCTACTTTCAAATGGAATAGGTTTTGTCTAAATCAGAATTTATTAAAAAATGTTATGACCGAAACATTGAATAGAGGTCAGATTACCGAAAAATTTCAGATTCATGGATTTGTATCAAAAGGAAAGAACGGTTTGGTACTAAGCTGAAATCTTTTGCATTATGAAGAATTAAAAGGAAAACAAAGATTAGGAATTCTGTAGGAAGAGGTTAGAACACTTGCCTTAAACAAATTTGATTCCCAAATGGGGGGGGGAGTTGATGCAAAACCTCAATCAAATCTTCTTCTTCAATTCATCTTCTTGTTCTTCTTCCCTTCTCTTCTCTTCTTAAACTCACGTTGGATGCAGTATCTGAAGGTTACATTTAGTTTCTCCTTTAATCTCTTATTTAATTGCTTTTGGTTAACACAAGAGTTGCAAAGTTTCAAGGTGGCAAGCATGCATGAAAAATGCTAGGTGACATCCTTAGAACAAATTTAGATGGCACAATTAGGTTAGCTAGTGACACATGTCCACTAATTCTTTTTTTTTTTTAACTTAAATCTGAATCTTAAATAAATTATATCAAACTTCTAATATTTACTCTTAGGTCCCTAGCCATAAATATTTAATCATTTAATATAGAATAATTATTAAATAATCCTTATTTTTTACAAACAAATATTTTACTAAATTTTCAAAAATGGGGGATGTTACAGATTCAGGTGGGAAGTTGAAGCCCTTGAAGCAGCCTAAATCCGAAAAGAAGGAATACGACAAGGTATGTGCTCCTTCTTGAGACGATCTATCATGCTACCACTCTTTGATTCGGTTATTAAGATTTGTAGGTGCTTGAAGTATTCGGAATGAATGGATGGGCGGCGAGTTTTTTATTGCTTGCTTAATTTCGAAGTTGTGGGTGTCTCTAGTTCTTATGATCTTATGAATGTTACTGTCTTGTTATATGAATTAACTCTCCCTTTGAAAATCGACCAAGTTCAATGAATCTGCTCACCAGACCATCTATTAATAAACAGCCTTAACTTTCTTTAGGGAAATGATTTTGACTTGTTTTAAAATAGGCTGGAAAGTTAAGAATCTTAAGTTTTTTCAATTTATAAAGACGCCCTATAACTCTTTAGCAATCAATTCGGGCTATTCAATCAAGTTGGGCCATTTGCAGGAATGAGTTTGCAACTCATTTGGCTTATGGCTGTCATATTTGAGAGGTCTGGATTTAAGGTTAAGGGACAAGTATTGTGGACTGTAGAGAATACTATAGAATCAACAAGATTTACACGAGCTGATGGTAGCAAATAAGGCACTCCCATGTCATATATGCAATTGGTAAATAGATGCCAACTCAGTCAACTAAAATGTCAATTGAGGTTTTGCTTATTTCTATTTATCTTAGTATCTGGTGTTCAAGTGAAAAATAAATCATCTTGCCAGACTTTTCATGAGCTGCATTATCATTCTTTTATGATGCATCTGAAGGCACTTCTTTCCTTTGTCATCTCCCTTCTCGTCAATTAAAGTATTACAACTGAAGGATATATTTTATCACGTATGCAGCTTAATGGAAATTGGCTATTGATATCTTCGATCTGTTTGCCTTTGGAGTTTAGTGGTAATTCTTGTTTTCAAAGAAATAATTGGATAGGTTTCATGTGTGTCTTGATGAACTTGGTTGTAACAATTTTTCCTAGAGGATTTGTTACTTTTTAGGCTTAAGGGGCACAGACATATCTTCACCAAAGCAGTGGCTCACTTTATTTTCAGATATGCTTCCTTGGTTTCTTGGTGCCAGAAGTTTGCATGCAATTGTGCTGTTATAGTAATTTATTAATTGAGATTTTTTACTCCTTTCTTTGGATTATCTTAGGCTCTTTGAAACTTGTGTATCTTCACATTGTAAAAACTCAAACTGAATTCCGTAGAACCATATAGATATCCAACATTAATGAGAAGTAACCATCTTGTGAAGCCATCTCTTCAACATGCTGACACGTCGGTGGAGATGGAAATATATAGCTTAAGTCTGTTAATATTATACCATAAACTTTGTATACTGTTAGACTTTCTTAAAGAATTTGCTTTAGACGTGCTATTCAATTGCCAATTCAATCATAAGCTTCTAAAATAATGCAGTATAGTTGTAAAGCATTGTTGTTTCTTCTAAAACATGTTTTCCTCGATGTGAGAACTAGCCTTTCAAAAATATTTAAAGCACAACGCTGCCTAATCTTAAAATTGCCTCTGGTATTAACATAATCAAACGCCTAAGCCCTAGAAAATTGGACCCATGGTTTCTTTGCAATCTTTTACCAAACCAAAGGAGGATACCTTGTTATGTTCTTCCTCCCATTTTCATGCCTACTTCAGTTTTCTTCAACTTGTAAAATGCAAATATGATGTATTAGTTGTCTATTTTTTTAGGCTGTGGTAAAATATCTGCCTCTTGACTAATGTGATTGGACAGATGACTCTTCTGTGTCCAAATCTCAGGCTTACATGCTATATACTTTTGAATCTGCTTTCCTCAGAATGTGTCTTGTTAAGCTCTTTGATTTAGATGAGCTCCTTTAATCTTGATTTCCTCTCTGCAAGCCAATGAGGACTAAAGCTACTTTCTTTTGGATGCTCTCACTTGTATGACCTTTGTCTTGATTTGGATTCCTCCATGCTTGCTCCCAATTTGAGGGCTTGGAACTGCTGCATGTTCTTTAACCTTTGTTTTAATTTGCATTCCTCCATGCTTTCTCCCATTTTGGGGGCTTGGAACTGCTACGTTTTCTTTAACCTACTATCAAGGTCGGCTATAACCAAAGAATTTCTGGGTTCAATTGGGAGATGAGTTTAATGATGGAACACAGTCAGGGCAACTGGTGAAGAACGTTGCATCCTTCCATCAGTCCCTTTCCAATGTTATTTTCCTTTTCTGTGTTTAACTGTAGAAAGAACATGATTTACCTTGTGTAGAATATTATACCATGTTGAACAGTCTCCTGTAACATATGAAGCACAGATGTTTTATATTGATATCAGTGATTGTATTTTATTCTTTTTCTTTCTTCATGCATTGTCTTTGTATTTTTCTTTCTGTGTTTATTGTTATCTTAACCGATTTATTTGTAATTCTTTTTGAACGAAATTTCTTATACATTTCATAGATCATCTTGGCTTCCATCTAAGATTGATCCATTGAGGAATTCATCTCTAAAAATGTTCTTGTGTTGCTGTAAATTTTCGTCGCAAACCGCTGAAATTTTTCGACGAGCATTCTGTCATCGCAACTTGCATCAATTTCCTTGCTGTTATACTACCGAAATTTTCTTGATTAAATTGGTCATCCTTGCTGTCATATAAACAGAGATTTTGCTATCAATTCCCTCCTCAAATTTCTTGGTTTTTGTTGGAAATTTCATCGAGAAACCGTTGTTTCTTCGACGATAATTATGCTCTTATAAAACAATACTTACCTGCTGCAACTTTCACTGATTTCTATCAAACCTTTGCTGTCATCTACCACATATCTAAAACTTTTTCCCTAACCTTCATCCACTACCATCACAGCCCTAAAACTCCACCAAACCACACCCTCAAACTGCACCCAAAATAGCCACAAAACAAGCCTAAACCATCCACCAATCCACCAACCCTTTCGACCATCACGTCTCTCAACCTATACATGTCTTTAACCCGACAACAAAAGAGAGATCTTAACATCACAAATTTGGAGGCATATACTATGGCATCTGAGGAGGCAATCAATGCTAAATTCGAAGCCTTCGAGGCGCAAATGGAGGATAAGATTCGGACGCTCTTTACCGAACTCAGTTTGGGCCGACCACCAAGCCCGAAGAAATCGCATCAAGGAGAGAGCTCTGCCTAATCGCACCAAGCCCGAAAAGATGACTTCCAAGAGAGGGGAGGCTCTATGACTAACCCCAACTATCCACGCATGAGGGTGGACTTCCCTAAATGGGAAGGAGACTCGATTGGTTGGATCTCGCGCGCGGAGTGATATTTTCGGTACCACAACCACGGACGCATCTATAGTGGAAATTACGGCTATACATCTTGAAGGGGATGTCATACAGTGGTTTTACTGGTTTGAACATACTCATGGGGTCCTCTTATGGCAACAATTCAAAAAAGGACTACTAATCCACTTCGGACCAACCGATTACGAGAACACTAACGGACAACTAGCAAAGATCCGACAAACCTCCACCATTTAGGAGTACCAAACTAGGTTTGAAAGGTTATCTAATCAAACTCATGATTGGTCTAAAAAACAGCTATTGAGGATCTTCATTGAGAGCTTGAAGCCGAAGATCCAGGGAGAAGTTAAAGCACGACAACCGTACACACTTATGGTAGCCATCTCTTTCGTACGATTTCAAGAGGAGCGACTGAACTATGAAGCCCGGAGGACTAGGGTCGCTCCTCGACCAGCAATACTGAAGCCCTCAGCCCCCCTACTGTCAACCAAGTCCCTGCACCAAAAAGGTTGACAAGAGAAGAGCTTCGGGAGCAATCTACGAAGGGGTTCTGTTGGCACTACGACGAGCCATGGAGCCGCGAGCATCGCTGTAGAAAAGGGAGACTTCTTATGATTGAACCAGTAGAAGAAGAGGTCATTGAACATCCAGAAGAGAGCCTTGAACATAAAGAAGAAGATACGGAAGAAGAGCCACAATCGACCGACGTTACGGTACACGCACTAGCCGGCTACTCAAACCCGCAAACGATGAAAGTTGGAGGCCTTCTCAAACAACAATCAATCACTGTTCTCATCGACACGGGCAGCACTAATAACTTTGTAAATAGTAAGTTTGCTACTCGGATGGCGCTCCACATCGAAGGTTGCAGTAAGTTCGACGTAAAGGTCACCAACGGAAGAATCCTAAAGTGCGACCAAAGATGTCCGCAAGTGAAATTATTACTGCAAGACTAAGAAATTATCACCGACTTCTTCCTCCTACCAATTGATGACTATGAGGCCGTGCTTGATATAGAATGGCTGATGACGCTAGGTGATGTCTCTAGGAATTTCTCCAAATTAATTATGAAATTCTACTACAAAGGCAAATAGATCATCCTACGTGGAAAGTGCGAAAGCAACGTAACCATCGTTTCGACCCAACGAATGGAGAAAGTTTTACACAAGGTAAATGGTGGCTTTATGATGCATCTCCGGCAGCAACCAGAGGGGAAGAAAATAGAAATTGAAGATCAAAATCTTGCCCAATTGCTTGAATTTGCCGACATTTTTGCTAAGTCGTGCGGTCTTCCTCCTATGCGGCAACATGACCATCGAATTCCAATCCTTTCGGGCAAGCCACCAGCGAACACTCGGTCGTACCGATATCCTCACCTCCAGAATGATGAAATTGAAAAGATCGTAAAGGAGATGCTTGAAACAGGGGTGGTTCGGCCAAGTTGCAGCCCCTATTCCTCACAGGTGCTGCTTATACGCAAGAAGGACGGAACTTGGCGGATGTGCATCGACTACCGAGCTTTAAATGACATCATCGTCAAGAACAAATACCCTATTCCAGTAGTAGATGAATTGCTAGATGAAAGGGAGCACGAATCTTCACAAAGCTGGACTTTCGATCCGGGTATCATCAAATACGAGTGTGCGAACATACCGAAAATCACCTTTGAAACACACAACAGCCACTATGAATTTTTGCTTTCTTTAACAGAAGGTGGAATATCTTGGGCATATCATATCAGAGGAAGGTGTGGCAGTGAACCCCTCTATAATTGAAGCAATGCAGAATTGGTCGACCCCGAGGAACATAAAATTGCTACATGGCTTTCTAGGTTTAAAAGGATACTATCGCAAGTTTGTGAAAAATTATGAAAAGATCAGTGCACCACTTACTTCCTTGCAAAAAAAAGATGCTTTCCAATGGTTGAACAAAGCCACCACCGCCTACGATGAACTTAAAGCCACAATGACGATAATGACCATACTAGCTACCCGACTTCGGCAAGACTTTTGTTATTAAAGCCGATGCCTCCGGAGTCGAAATTGGTGCTATACTAATGCAAGATGGCCGCCCCCTCACTTATACCAGATGATTATTTACGACAAGGAGATGCTCACGATTGTGCATGCTATAGCAAGTGGAGACCGTACTTAATCAGGCGACGCTTTCAAATCAAAACCGACCATAGAAGCCTCAAGTACTTTTTGAAGTAAAAGATATCATCCCCTGAGCAGCAAAAATGGATACCCAAACTTTTTGGGTTTGATTATGAAATTATTTACAAAAGGGGAAAGAAAATGTTGTTCCAGATATACTCTCACGGCTACCTGAGCAAGCTAAGGTTTCAATCATCTCCCGTCCTACCACCAGCTTCCTCGAGGACATTAGAGAAGAACGGAAGAAGGATCCAGAGATCAACAACATCATAAAAAAATTGGAGGAGGATACAAGTGCAATAGCCCACTACACTTGGGATTCGATAGGTCTACGCTACAAAGGTCGCATTATGCTTATACCTAACTCCCCTTGCATCAAAATCATCTTGCGTGAAAGGTATTCCACACCTTCAGCAGGGCACTCCGGATTTCTGAGAACCTACAAAAGAGTGAAGAAAAATTTTTATTAGAGAGGGATGAAAAAAATTATTGCTGAATATGTGACATAATGTGATATATGTCAACAGCACAAGGGTGAAACAGTGGCAAGTCCAGGGAAGCTACAACCACTACCCATACCGGATTCGATGTGAACTGACATCTCCATGGACTTCATCGAAGGGCTGTCACCTTCCAAAGATAAAATCACAATTCTCGTGGTGGTTGATCGACTTACGAAATATGCTCATTTTTGTGCTGTGCGAAAAATCCCTACACTATTGCTAGTATTGCCCAGATTTTCATAGAAAATATTGTTAAACTACATGGGATACAAAGGTCCATTGTAAGTGATCGTGATAGGATCTTCACTAGTAAATTTTGGACCGAGTTATTTTAGTTACAAGGCACCAAACTCAAGATGAGCACAGCGTATCATCCACAAACTGACGACCAAACAGAGGTAGTAAATAAGTGTTTAGAGACGTACCTTTGGTGTTTCGCTAGCGACCAGCCAAAGGAGTGGGAAAAATGGCTTCCCTGGGCCAAATGGTGGTATAATACTACATATCATTCATCTACAAAATGTGCCCCTTATGAAGCATTGTATGGTCGTCCGACCCTTGTGATTCCAAAGTATGGAATTGGCTCGGCCAAGGTAGATTAGGTCGACCAAGAATTGATTGACAGGGAAAAACTCTTACAACTGTTAAAGGATAATCTCTCTACCGCTCAAGCCAAAATGAAGCAGCAAGCTGACACACAACGAAGTGAAAGAGAATTTTCAGTAGGAGATTGGGTTTATCTTTGCCTATAGCCATACAAGCAACTTTCCATCAACACTCGAGCCTCCATAAAGCTATCCCCATGTTTTTATGGGCCCTATCAAATCACAGAGCGTATTGGAGCCGTGGCGTACAGACTTAAATTACCTAAGGATGCCACAACTCACCCTGTCTTCCACGTGTCATGCTTGAAGCCCAAGTTGGGAGAACATGCCCAAGTTGGGAGAACATGAGTCACCCTAGATCCAACTGCCCAACACCACTAAGGATGGAGTTATTCAAGCCCAACCATAAGCCATCCTCGATCGCAGGATCGTGATGCGTCGCCGACGTCCCTCTACTGAAGTACTAGTACATTGGAATAATTTACTATTTGAAGACGCCACATGGGAATCATATGAGGAGCTGAAGACCCGGTTCCCTAAGTTCATGGAATCTCAGCCTTGAGGACAAGGCTGATTTTAAGAGGACGGGTCTGTTAGGACTCTAGCTAGGAGAGTCCTAATTGAGAGGGTCATTCATGTAAAACTTACCTAAGCTGACCCCTATTAAAGAGGTGAAAAGATCGATTAGGATTAGGAGGTTGTTTCTTAGAGAAGAATTAGAAGTTGTAAAGGAATATGAGTCTTGATTAGGAGTCCTATTAGGAGTTAGGATTTAGAAGCCCTAAATAACCATATTCCTCCTCTTTT